GGGCCTTGCCAGCTCTAGACCTCTGGGTCCCTTGTCCAGTGAAGCATTCTTCCCACCCTTGCCAGCTTCCCAGCGGCAGGGATCCCAATGCCTTCCCTAGAAGTCAACCAGAAGGTCCCCAGATTTCCCAGCACCAAGTGCCCCTGCCTCAAGGTTAGCCTTCAGCCCTGGATCTGAGTCCCCCAGGCCATCCTTAGACTGATGTGGGTCCCCCATAGTCCAGTCGCATGGTGGTCTCCCACATCCCCTAAATGCTCACCAGCTAAATACCAGAGCACCCAGTCCGTCAGATCCTCCCCGGCCAGACGCCACCACCTCCATCTCACCAATCCGATATCCCGGTAGGAAAACAGACTTCCCGTTACCCCATGCAGCAGCAAACTCCAGGATCCTCCATTCTCAAAACACTCCCAGCCCTGGACACCTGATCATCCCTACCCCGGCCCTGAACACACGGCTCCCACGTCCAACCCACAAGCTGGGACAGCACAGCCCCGAAGCCCACCCGGCTCCCACGCCCTAGGTTCACTGTTTCCAAGACCCTCCTCGGTCCCCAAGAGAAAACCTCTTGTTCTTCCGACTCTTTTCGGCTCCTGAAACCACCGCTTCCGGTCTCCGAGCTCTAGGCTCCAGAATCCTCTACACCCGCCCCCACCCCCGGATTTTCCTCATCTCCCAAACTGAGAGCCCCCACTCCCAGTATCCCCCCTGCACCGAATGCCAGGATCCACCCTCCGATCGTCCCGAAGGCCTTGTCCCCAGATCCTTTTCAGCGGCGAGTGGCGGGATCCCACAGGCGCCCCACAGCCCTTCCTCGGCCCGGACTCCGGGCTCCCCGACCCCCGCCCCGCGCACTCTCACAATGTCCGTCCGGCCCCGAGTAGCCGCCAGGCTCCGGGTGCGGCTGCAGCCCGGGCGGCGGTGGCTGCGAGGTCCCCTCCAGGTCGGAGCCCCCCTCGGTCTCGACCTCCTCGTTGTTGTGCCCGGGTAGCCCCGCTTCTTCGTCTGCCTCGAGCTCCCGCTCGTCTTCGGGCTCCTCGGCCTCCAGCGCCGCCTGCAGCCGCTCAGCAAGCTCGGCCTTCAGGCCGCGAGTGTCCAGGCCGCGGCGCTGCAGCTCCTCCCGAAGTTCGTTCACCTTCAGACGGCGCACATCCATGGCCCGGGCCCCCGGGGCGGCCCCCGAGCCCGGCCCGGCCTCCCAGGGCTCTGTCCCCCTTAAACCTTTACTGTCAGGAGGCGAGGGGGAAAGGGGGGGGGCCCACTCCAATGGCGGCGGCCCACTCCAATGGCGGCGGCAACTCAAAATGGCCGCCGCCACCTCCCCCTCCTCCGTGTTTCCTTGCTGTGCAACACGTGTGCCAATTGGCCACCGCGTGGGGTAAACGGGCGCGGGCCCGAGAATCAGCCAATCAGAGAGTGGCTTTCAAAACACCGTCCATGCAAGAGCGCAGGAGCTGCCGGGGAGGAAGCGTTGGCCTACGTCGATTCAGCGGCCCCACCGGAGGGCGGGAAAAGACAGGAGGCGGAGCGCGCGGTGATTGAGTAGCGACCGTGCGCTCACTCCCGTAGGATCAAATGAGGAAAAGGGAGTAAGGATTTGGGCCAATCAACGATGAGATCTCAGAATGAGCGCGCCCCCTGGCCTTTCCTGCGCAGCTCCTTTATCAAACTAGTGTCTCTGTAACGCGTATCCTGACTGGTCTAGATCTCCCGCCCCTAGAGGAGCCCAGCGGGTAAATCCACTAGAACCAATGAAAGGGAGGGTCAATAGACACCCCCTTCTTTCACTATTGCCTTTAAGAAACCCGAAAGCGATGAATTCACGAGGGACCGCCCCTTGCCGTTAGGGCGGTTTCAAAACAAGCTGTCCACCAATCGCGATTATTATCTTATCTCACTAAATAAAGCTCGTATTGTTGTTGTTGGTTAGGAAAAGCGAACCAGGTTGGCCATTCTTCAGCGGACGCCCTCCCAAATTTCACGGGAGGGAGGTATATGAAATAGTGATTAAGTAGATAAATTATTGTTGTTGTTTTGGTTTGTTTTTTGTTTTCTTACCATCATGGAGTTTCATTCATTCTAGCAGGGGGAAGAGAATCAAAGCAGTATATAAGTAACAAATGTAACATGTCAGATGCAAAGGATTACTGTGGAGAATAAGCAGAGAAAGGCAAAAGCGAGGTAGGAGAGGTTGCACTTTAAAATAGAATAATGAAGAGGTGACCTTTGAGCCCCTTGTGAGGGTAGAGGGTTCAGACAGAGGAGCAGCAAATGCAAAGGCCATCAGGAAAGGCTAGAAAGGCAGGAGAAGAGTGGAGAGAAGTCGATGAATTATTCTCAATCCGGAAGATATCCGTTGCCTTTATGCACAGAGCAACCCTTTGACGTCAGCGAGTCCCGAAGTTTTGAAAACAGAGGCTAGACTAACAACGGGAGGAAAGTTGTAAAGGAAATCGCACCACCTCCCCTTGAGAGTACATGTCACTGGGCGCCTCTTTCCACGATCCTAGCTTCGCTGCCGCCTTCCTCTATGGTTGGTACCTTATGTGGAATGGACGCTCTGCCTGCGACCATAGAGCCTTCCCCTGGAGAAGGCCTCCAGAAGTTTGTGGGTCTCTACCCCACATCCTTTAACTTGCTGTTCAGTGTATCTGGCTGTTTGACGTCCGGACTGACCAACTCACACACGCAGGTCGGTAGCTAAGCTTCACGCTACTAAATATAAACGCCACAGCTTCGCAATGTCTACCCCTGCACCACCTGTCGCCTCGAACGGAAAAGACACACAACTTCTGTAAGACGCACACTCGAGATACACATGCAAACGCCAGCTGCTCACTGAGCCTTCCTTTAAACCCACAAAAGCCACACACAGCCCCTACGTAGACACAGGCACACACAACACGGATAAACCAATGACGGTGAGATCAGATCACATTCAGGGGACAATACACCAAACTGCAGTGTAGACAAGCCCACTAAGGTCCTCACCGGCAGGCGGCATGATAAAGACACACAGGGCAGTTACATTACGAGCTTCCACTAGGGCAACCTAGACATACAGCACCCACTCAGAAGCGGGACAGACACTCACGTGGGCCCGGAGGTTCCAGTCCAGACACCCCGCCCCTCGCCCACGTCCAACTTCCTCTCTCCTCCCAGCTTCCCACAGATTTATCCTAAAAAAGTTTGTGGCCCGGATTGAACTGTTCTCGGTGTTCAGGAGCCACCGCCGGGGGGCGTCCGGGCGCTGCCAAGGGCTCCTCCATCTGCTGCGGGACACACCCAGGAACTTGTGTGTGCCTTGCGTGCAAAACACAGTGTGGGCTTGTCTTGGCAGGAGTTCCTTTGTGGGCCGGTGACTATGGGCGGTGTTCTGTGCCTGTGTTTCTAAGTGAAGCTGAATATTTGGGTCTGTGAGTACCTGTTTGTACTCTGTATGTCTCTGAGTATCTGTGTCATTTTACTCTTTGTCTGTGTTTCTCTAGTTTATTCCTGTTCTTGGTGAGTATCTATCTGCCTGTGCATCATATGTTTGTAACTATAGTTTTGTGTGTCTCTGTTATACTATGTGTCTGAATTTCAGTGTCTCTGTATTTGTAACCAGGTGTGCTTGAGTATGCCCATGAATTCAATGTATCTATTACTTGAGGAGATGGCTGTCTCTGTGGGACCCTGTATATATGTGCCTGTTCCTCAGGAGGGGTTTTGGAGAGTCTGCTTTTCTTTGCTTGCGTGACTTTTGGTCTATGTGTATATTCATCTCTACCTTCTTTAGAGAGAGGAGAACTCCTAGACCCCATCAAACCCTTCTTTTTACTGATGGGGAAACTGAGTTGCCAGGGAGACCACATAACTGCTGAGAGAGACAAGAAGAGACAGAAGTGTGGTTACAAAATTTTATGTGATCTAAGCCCCTCTGGAGGTGCCAGAGTCCACACTCTGTAAATGGGGTATGAGGGACTGGCTCAGGGGGGCAGCATGGCCCAAAAGAAGAAAGATTGTCCCCTGGGAAAAGGAGGCATCCCTAATGCATTGCACAGGCTTGAGGGGGGAAAACCCCGACACGAGGGGAGGAAGAAGCAGAGGTGACTCAGGGAGGGTCACACAGAAGAATACTATAAAGTTAGAACATTGGAACCTTGGTGTTTGAGACCTATAGACCTTTAAAAGCTTACAACATTTGAATCTTAGAACTATAATGTCTAGAATCTTAAGGTTTAGAACTGTGGATTCAAGGACCTTTAACTAAAATCCTAGAAAGGTAGAATGCAGCATAGAATCTAAAGGTGTCCAACATTAGAAATGATTAGAACTTTGGTATCTAGTTAGTCACAACTAACTGTAGAGTCTTATCCCTTAGATGGTGAGGATCCAGAATCTTGGACCAGTAGCATCTAGAATGCCTTGGAGCATGGAACTGAACAACAGTAGAATCTTAGAACTGAATAATCTAGAACCTTGAAGCATAAGATCTTGAATCTTAGACACAGAGAATATACATTCTTAGACTGCCTTAGAACATCACATCTTAGAACACTAGACCTTAGAACCTCCACCTGTAGATTCTTAGAACTTTTGAAATGCAGATTCTAGAATCTTAGACCTTTAGGATTCAGAACCTCATATAATTTCTCTCTCTTAGAAACTCTAATGGACCATCATTAGAATCTTAGCATTTGAAAAAATAAAATCTTGAAGCCTTATGCTCTAGAGTCGGGTCAGCCAGAGGATTTATACTATAGGAGGCTTAGAATATAAAATTTTAGAACATTAGATCTTAAAACCTCCATATCTAGAATTGTTGAATTTTAGAATCTAGAATCTTACACCCTAAGGAAAATAAAATCTAGCATTATAGAGTCTTAGTTCCTAGGCCTAGAATCTTAGAACTTCAGAACCCCAAAATTGATGGGTTTTATCAAGAATCTTAGAAGCAGAAAAATCTAGTGCCATAGAATCTCAGAACTTTAGAATATAGGCCTTAGAACATCCATGTCTAGAACCTTAGCACTTTAGAATTAGAGACTTTGGAATTTCAGATCCCTCGAAACAAAGATTCATGGAGTCTTTGAAACCTAGAACCTAGATTCTTTAAACCTTAGAATCCAGAATCGTGCAATGTTAGACCTAGGAGGACCCTTAGGGATTGCAATCCAACCCCTTCCTTTTACAAATGGGGACACTAAGGTGTGGAAAGGAAGAGGATCTGTGTGGGATGGAAGTAGAACAGGTAGAAAGACAGGTCTGGAAGGGGAACATAGGTGAGGTCCCCCAGTGGCAGTGCCTAGCTTGGGTCCTGAGAGGAAGTCCCAGGTGGAGGGTTGTCTCAGGCTCCATCCTCCTGCCCTGGGGGTGCTGGGGAGCCCCTGTCAGCAGGCAGGTTGGGGCCGGGGGCTGTAGAAGGGCAGAGGACATAGCGTCCAGCAGGATGGACCTCAGCCGAAGTGAGGCAGCTGCAAGAATCCTTAGGATCCGGCTGAGTTGGGGGATCAGCTCCTCCGGCAGCTCCAAGTGGTTCAGCATGACTCCCACCCTCATCCATGTTGACATACAGGATTTCATCAGGCTCCTGGGCAGGGGGCAGGGCCTTCAGCGTGTTCTCCAGATCTTCTCGCAGCTCTGAAAAACTCGGCCGGTCCTGGGGGTTTAGCTCCCAGCACTGGGACATCAGGGCATACCTAGGACAGCAAAGTGAAGGGTGGGAGACTGAGCCTGGGCTTAGAAGGGAGACATTCTGGGAGTTTGGGGGAAATTAAGGACACTCAGGGGACCAGGGACATTTCATGGGACTGGAGGGAACCATCGCAGTTGGGGAGCTTCTATGGGGACTAAGGAATTCTCAAGAGTTTCTGAAAGGTTTCTGGGATGCTAGGGAGCTGGAAAGGGTCTTGGGAAACCTCTCTGGGTATGGGGTGGTGTTTAGTGATAGTTTGCAGGAGCAGAGCTTTTCAGTGTGGCTCTCCAGAACAGACTGGCACCAAAGACTTGCAAGCTGTGTAGGTTTAAAATATGTGCTCAAATTCTGACATTCCTCCCGTCAAAAGATGCAGTCTTGCCCTGGCCTGTTTGGCTCAGCAGTTAGAGCATCAGCTTGACCTATTCCTGGTCAAGGGCACCTACCTGGCTGGGTTGCAGGTTCAATCTCTGGCCCCGGTGGGGGTCATGCGGTGGGAGTCATGTGGGAGGCAACCAATCAATGTGTCTCTTTCATATCCATGTTTCTCTCTCTCCCTCCCTCCCTTCCACTCTCTCTAAAAATATCCTCAGGTAAGGGCTAACAAAAACAACTAAAAGATGGAGCCTAATCTCCCTCCCCTTGAGTGTGGGCTAGACTTCTTGACTTGATTCTGACTTAGTAGCTGTGATGACGTGTGTGACTTCTGAGACTATCCTGTAAAAGGCATTGTGGTTTCCCGCTCACTCTTTCTCTTAGAATGCTTATCTGGGCGAGGTCAGCCACCATCGTGTGAGGAAGCTCAAGCTGCCTAGCAAGGAACTGAGGCCTCTGCCACAGCCACGCAAGTGAACTACCTTGAACACAGTCTTCTAGTCCCAATCTTCAGATGGCTGCAGCCCCATCTTCACTGTCACCTCATTAGAAACCCTAGTTCAGAATCACCTACCAAGCTGTTCCCTCATTCGGACCTTCGGAAACTGTGAGGTTATAAATGTTTGCTGTTGTAAGCCACTGGATTTGGGGATATAGATAACTGATGCACCAGCTACGCAGCCTTTGGCAAGTGATTTACCATCTGTGGGCCTCAGTTTCTTCACCTGCAAATGGGAATAATGGTACCAACCTACCTCATATGGCCATTTTAAGGACCCAATTAGTTAACATACACAAAGTACCTAAAACAGCGCCTTCTAGTAAGCTCTTATTAATAGAAACATTAGCTATTATTCTTACTTCTCTCAGCTCTTGGACACTCAAGGAGGACCTGGGCAGTTTGCAGCCCCAGGCTGTCCCCTTCTGGCCCAGCAACATCATGCTGGATAAATGTTCTGCTCTTCTGGGTGTCAACAGGCGACAAAGTTTGATAAGCACTGTCCTAAAGGAGCCTGAGAACGTCTCAGAGGAGACTTGAGAGTTGGGAGAAGCTCAATATAACCTGAAGGGTTTGCAGAGGGCCCTGGACGTTGAAGAGCATCTGGGGAACGCGTGGGTGCTCAGGAGTCTGGGATGAATTAGAATTCTCTGAGAATGGGGGGCCTCCGAGGCAGGGGCCCCAGGTAAGGCTGTGTAGTTATTCACTGCTCATGGATAACTGGCTGAGGGGACTGATCCAGCCGCAGTCCGTGCACAGAGCAAAGGAAGAGAGGGTGCCTTTTGCTAATTCACACCCTGTTACACGGTTTGTTCATTCACACTCCTGCGGAGCAGTGGTGAGGGGGCAGGCGGCCTCCTCAGCAGTCGGAGGGATTCTGCACAGGTTTCAGAGGGTCCTGGATATGTCTGGACCATGTGGAGTGCTCAAGGTTTGTAGTGAAATCTGGGATTGGGGGGGATGGGGGTCCTCAGGGTCCTCACAGTCCATCCAGACAGTCCACCGGCTGCTTCAGGCGGTTTCCCTGGCGCAGGTAGTCGTAAATCTCACTGTTCTCCACTCCCGGATAGGGGGTTTGGCCCCGGGTGGCAATTTCCCACATTGTCACCCCAAAGGACCACTGTGGAGGGAGAGGAGAGAGAATTAGACAATAAGAACTAGGTGTCTCCTGCACGAAGACACCCCCAGCACACATTTATGTACACATGTGCACACAGCTGTCTTTGTGGGTACATCACAGCTATTCAGAGAATCACTTTGGCACAAGTACATCCTCATCGAGGTCACTTTTGTGCACATACAGACATGCTCACCCATGCACACATTTACACACATAATGGACACACAGTCTCATGTGTCACTCTCCACACCCTGGCTATATACACACGTATGCATACTTGCCACTGCCTCTCCTAACCTAAACTGTCTACACGTCCCATGTAGAACCTGCCACCGTTCACACATGGGCCTGTACATATCCCCCGCATGTTCATGCCACTGTTCACAGTCCCCCACCGTCTCCCAGACATGGGTAGCTCGCGTGGACAGGGCCCCGGGAGCCCAGGTGCAGTGTAAGATGATCGGGCCACGCCCTCCTGTTGTTCCCCATTCCTGTCAGAGGCACACGTACCACGTCGCTCTTGCTGGTGTAGACGCGGTCCGCCAGGCTCTCGATGGCAATCCACTTGACTGGCATCTTGGCAATGCGGCCCTGGCGGTAGTAGTCCCCATTGTAGATCTTCTTGGAGAGCCCAAAGTCCGCCACGCACACGGACATGTTCTCATTCAGCCTGCCGGGGTGGGGGGGAGGAACAGGGTCATGCTGTCAGCTCCCCACCAGGAAGCCTACCGTTGCTCTCAGACACATGCCCGTCTCCCACCCTGGCTGTCCCACTAAGCGGGGGGGTCTGTCTCCCCTCCTTGCCCCTGATACATAGGGAACTTTGTTATCCCTTGTTTCCTCCATAAAATGAAGGCAGGACAAAAAAGCTACTGAGGGCTTCCCCAACTCTGGCTTTTTGCCAGACTCTGAAGTCCCTCCTAAACCCCTTGGGTTTGAGTCTGATTTGAAAACAAAACAAAACTGTGTTCTTGATGTATACAGAAACATGCACAAATCTGAACATGCACGCACACCCATGGAACCAGCACCCAGATTAAGAAACAAATTGTGGGACATCCGTACAAGGATTATTGCACAGCAAAGAAAAAGAACAAACTACTGACACACACACACACACACGACATGGATTAATCTCAAAAACACCATGCCGAGCGAAAGGAGCCGGGCACAAAGGAGTACGAACTGCACGATCCCATTTGTTTGCTATTTAAGAACAAGGGACAGAAGTTGATGTGACAGAAATCCAGAAGAGTGGTTATTCCTTGTATCCCTTAGGGACAGCTATTGGGAAGGGCGTTAGGGAGCCTGCTGGGGCCCAGAAAGATTCTTTACATTGATTCATTGGTGGTTGTTTACATGAGTCTGTAGACATGTAAACAGTCATTGAGCTGTACTCACAAGATGTGCATATTTTAGTGTATGTAAAAGATACGTCTTTTTTTTTTTTAAGAAGTAAACTTTACTTAGTGCAAACAGCTCCATTGCATACATTGATTTTTTTTTTTTTCATCCTCACTTGAGGATATTTTTCTATTTATCTTCAGATAGAGTGAGAGAGAGAGAGAGAGAAACATCAACGTGAGAGAGACACATTGACTGGTTGCCTCCCGCATGACCTCGACCAGGGAAGGGGATAAACCGCAACCGAGGTACGTGCCCTTGACCGGAATCAAACCCGAGATTCATTGGTCCTCGGGCTGACGCTCTAATCACTGAGCCAAACCAGCCAGGGCAATTTTAAGTATGGAAAAAAAGGGAAACACATTACCAGTCCTCCCTTCCTGTAACCAGCCCTCCAAGGGTAACCACAACCTTCACTTCTAACAGATGGATTACTTTTTCTTGTTTTTGTGGTTTACATAAATAGAAGATTCCCTGATTCTTACATCTGAGTTTCTGAGATTCTGTTTTTTTAAAAAGAATTGGTGGTTTCTAGCCAGGGAGATGGACTTTGGGCAATGACCAATGAGAAGAGACCCTGGAGGCCCCTGATATGCCAGAAATTAACCTTCAAGTGTTGGGTCCGGGGGAGGTCACAGGATCATGGCAGGGAGGTGGAGAGGGGGTGGTGGTCAGGCATCTATACTGGTGACTGGAGCACGGGGGAGGCTTGGGTGTCGTGGCCAACTGTCAATTTGATAAGGAAGTAGTTCAATATTTTAACCTAAAAGTGACAGGTGCATCCCAGTTCATTTCCACTCTGACTTCAGTGTCATTGTTACATTGAAGGCTTGACTAGGATCAGACCAAGTTACAGAAATAAAGGAATTTCCATTTGGATTGAGTCTACTCAAGCTTTTAGATCTACTTTCCAGTTACCAGGAAATACAGGGAACAGAGGAACAAGGCAACCAGACACATCTTATATAAAGGACATCCTACAAGACAACTGGCCTGGCCTCTTCCGAAGGAATATGCCATAAAAATATAAAAAGGTGGTGGTGGGGAGACTCTTCTAGATTAAAAGAAACCAAAGGGGCATAACAACCAAATGCATTGTTTGGAACCTTGAATAGGTCCTGGTTCAAGGGGAAAAAATAGCCCTAAAGACATTTCAGAAAACAATGGGAAGAATTTGAATATGGATTGGATGTTAGGTTATGTTATGAAGTTATTTATAATCTTCTTAGATGTGATAACAGAATCGTGATTATTTGGGCATAATTCCTTATTCTTAGGAGATACCTACCGAAGATTTGGGTTGGAGGATCACCATCTTGGCACCTTACTTTCAAACAGTTGAGGGGAGAGAGAGGAAGACAGAAGAGAGGAGAAGAGCCAAAATCTCAACAAGGAGGGTACATGGGTATTCGCTTTACAATTCTTTAAATTTTTCTATAGGACTAGAATTTTTCAAAATAAAAAGTGTGTGTGTGTGTCGGGGGTACAGAATTTACGATGTTTCTGAGAGTTGTAAACATTTACACCTTTTATAGAAGATTTTCTGATTCTCCAGCTCCAATTTCTGCGTCCAACATTGTAATGAGACTAATATTCTAAGCCTGTGTTTACACACACACACACACACACACACACACACACACACGGGCAACCCCAGACAAGACACTCAGCATGGAGAGGGACAGAGATGAGGCTTAAATGTCACCACCCTCGTCGGCCACCTCTGCCCCTTGCTCCCCTCATGCTGCCCACTGAGCCCACCCTCTTGCCTCCTCTCTCTACACTCAAATACTCCTTTAAGATCTCAGTTCACGGCTGGTCTTCTCCAGGAAGCTTTCCCCACCCCCCTTGCTGACTTCTCTATCCCAGTCCTGAGTTCTGACCTGCACAAGGGCTGTGTGTGTGTCTAGCTCCCTCTTCCATCCTGGGAAGGAGGGGAGGAGCTCCCTGAAGGGTTTGGAGTGTCCCTGGAAGGCTCAGCACTCACATGCAGTTCCTGGCGGCCAGGTCCCGATGTATGAATCTCTTGGTGCTCAGGTACTCCATGCCACTGGCAATGTCTGCCATGAACTTCACCAGCATCTGAGTGGGCAGGAACTGGGTAGCCAGGACAGGAGGGGGTGGAGCAGAGGTCAGCCCAGTCCCCGAGGTCCATCCCTCTTCCCTTTCTGTGTGTGCCTAGCTCTGCCCTGCAATGGTTTCCCATGGCTCCCAGAATTAAATCCAACCCTTTCCAACAAGGTCCTTATAATCCTGTTCTGCCTTCCTCTGTGACTTGACATCCTACTGTTCTTGTCCTCGACATATGCTCCTTCCAGGGGTCTCCTTTCTGGTCTTCAAACAAGCGACGCTTGTTCCCACCTCTGAGCCTTTGCCCACGCTGTTCCCTCCAGGATTGCTTCCTCCCAGATCTCTCCACCTCCCACCACTTGGTTCCTCCTTCAAGATCACCTCCTTAGTGAGACCTCCTTGTCCATCCAAACTAATTGCCTGGCTTCCCCTCATTTATCTTTCTCTGTAATTCCTTCCTAGCACTCACGTTCTCTTGCCTAGTGATTTGTTAACTTGCTGACTGTTGCCCCTCACTGGCAGACAGCTCCCAGAGAGCCAGGTCCGGGTCACCATGGTCTTCCCAGTGTCTGAGTAGCGCCAGGTACCTGGTAGGTGCTCAATAAATACTTCTAGACCAGACAATTAAGTGCCCCTCACCACTGGCTGGTCCCCGAGGCGAGAGTAGAGAAGGAAGCTGTGTAGGTCTCCATGTTTCATGAAAGGTAAGATGACCACAGGTGCCGGGAAGCCTTCTAGTTCGGAACCCTGGAAACAGACGCCTGAACCCCCCAGGCAGCCCTGTCACTCCAGAAGGACAGAAAGGGAAGCCACCCCCTCTCCCAGCTCTGTCTGTCCCTCTCCCTCAAATCCAGACTCCAAAGGGTTGTGGGGGTGGCAAGGACCAAGCTTCAGAGAAGCCATTTCCAGCGCTGTTCCCAGGGATGTTTCCCCAGCCCTCCTGGGGACCTCAGCTATTTCTGGGAAAGGTCAGAGATCACATTCCAAGCTGAGGGAGAGAAGGAGGGGGAGCTTGCTGGTTCTGAGGGAGGGGGAAACAGAGAGCCTGGAGTTTTGATCTCCCCAGTGCCAGGGGGGCCTTCCTCTAGTGTTGCTTCCACAAGGCCCGAAGGCCCCCTAAATTGGCCGCCCCTCACCAATGAGCCTCATGACGTTTGGGTGGTCAAATTCCTTCATGCAGACAGCTTCACTCAGGAAATCCTCCAGCTCCGACCTTGTGCAGATGGCGACTTGGGGGAGAGAGAAGTGGGGGTGAGAAGGAGGGGATGGAAAGGGGCTTCCCCTTCCACCCTCTCCTCCGTCATCATCATCATCTCATCTTCTTCACCAAGCATGATTGCTAAGTGCCAGGTGCTCCACTCAGTGCTTTGCATATATTAACTCATTTAATCCTCTGAGGTGTTTCCATCATTTTCTCCATTTTAAAGATGGGAAAACCAAGACACAGATGGTTAAGGAACATGCCTGAGGGCATGCACAGCTTGCAAGTGGAACAGGCAAAATTCGAAGTCCGGCTCTGGGTCCCTGTGCACACACAGTAGGCTGTGTCCCAGCACATTTCCAGTGGCGGTGGGGGGTCCGTATGGTTTTTCCCGTTTCACCGCGCAGGACACTGGCTCACAGAGGCAGAGTTGCCCATGGGCACAGTGCTGGGATTGAATCCCAGGTCAAGAACAGAACCTGGTACACAGGAAGTGCTCAAAAATGAATGAGTGAGCCCTGGCCGGTTTGGCTCAGTGGTTAGAGCGTCGGCCTGCGGTCCAGAGAGACTCGGGTTCGGTTCCCACTAAGGGCATGTATCTTGGTTGCAGTTTGTCCCCGGCCCTGGTTGGGTTATGCGGGTGGCAGCCACTCGATGTGTCCCTTTCACGTCGATGTTTCTCTCTCTCTCTCTCTCTCTCTCCCTCCCACTCTATCTGAACAAAAAACGGAAAAATGTCCTCGAGTGAGGATTAAAAAAAAAAAAATGAATGAGCGAGTAAGTGATGACTTCATAACCCAAGATTTTAGCCCCTGTGATTCAGAATGAATGGTTCCTTCCTCACCACCAGCCCTGGCCTGACCTTCTATGCTTTTTCCCTGTATGGAAAGGATTTCCTGTGGTGTTCCTGTCCTGTGTGACCCTGGACTGGCTCCCACCTTCTTTGATGATGTAAATAATATAGTCACAGTCACATCAACTCCTCGTACTACGGAATTAAGTGCTTTGCCTCACAACATCCTGAGAGGTAGGGCCATTACGATCCTTTTTTCCACAAGAGGAAAGGGAGGTGCAGAGAGGGATAGTCACTTGCCTGAGATAACACAGCTGGTCAATGATGAAGCCAGGTGGACCTCATTTCAGACCTTTCCCCTCTGCTATGCATCACAAGGGACTGGCCCCTGAAAACTACATTACCCAGGCTCCCTTTCCCACTGGTTTTGTTGGACTTTGCCAATGGGAAGCACTAATGGGAGATTGGCAGGTGGGCAGGAGGCGGGGAGAAGCCAGGGTCTTTCACCCTGTTTCTGCTTCCAGTATTGCCTTGGTGGTGGCTGTGTCTCCTTTGTGTTTCAAGCTCCCATGAGGTTTCCCTAACTCTGTGATTCCCAAATCCTGCCAGGCGTCCCTGGCCACAGGCTCTGGTGACACCACGCCCTCCCTCTGCCCGTCAGGCCTAAAGGCGGAAGTGATGACCGATGCTGCTCATCTCCAGGTTGCCTCACTTCTCCCAGGTGTTCCTCCAGTCCTTCCTACACCTTTACAGCAATCTCCCCAAATTAAATTTCTTCGGTTGAAGTACCTAGCATGGACTCACTTCCTGCCCGGAAACACTGAGGTTCTGTGGCAGGGTGAATTTGCTATTAACTTTTCTGCTCTTCTGCCTCCTTAGCTTCATAGGGAAGAGGTCCTGGCCAGGGGCTGGGGGTCCCACATGTGTGCACACGCATGCACAGACTCACTCTTCATTGTCTTCACAGCCACCTTGAGGATGGAGTCATCCTGGTTGAGCTGGCCCTCCATCACAGCTCCAAACTCTCCTGTAGGGGAGAGAGGGAGACGCTGGCCTCAGGGGGACCCAGAGGGATGCACTTCTCGTAGTTGGGTGGATGTGGGGAAGGGAAGGACCCCGTGGTTCAGGGGGATGTGTATGTGTGCAGGGGGTGCTTACCTTCTCCCAGGGTCTTCCCCAGGGCCACCTTATGCCGGTCCACCATCACATCTCGCAGCTTCTCCTTCAGCTCTTCGCTGATCCCCAAGCTGTTCACTGCATGGGGAGTGAGGGCAGACAGAGCCACGGAGTGGGGCTGACATTCAGGCAACACTCACCGACAGGTACAGAGCCACTGTTAAAATACTGAAATACTTCTGCCTTCATTCAGAAATAGCTACTGCCTTGAGCAACCCCGACTCCCACCCTGGCTCCTCCTCTAGACCCCTGGAATCTTCCTCAAGGTGGGGCAGCCAAAGGGTTGGAGCCTGTCACACAATCTCACACCAGTGGGCACCCTGGTTGGTCAGTGTTCTGCCAGGCCAGTCGTCAAAAATATTGATTAATGTTTTAGTAAGGTATATAACCTGCACAAATCGTTAAGTGAGCAGCTCGATGAGTTTTCACCAACCAACACAGCCGTCTAACTAGCAGCCAGGTCAAGAACAGACCCTGACCTGCCCTGAGAGGGGTGGCCACTTTCCTGACCTCTTTTACCACAGAGCAGCCTTCCCTGTTTGGGGATATTATAAACATGGAATCACACACTGTGTTCTGTTTCGTGTCTGGCTTCTTTCACTCAACACGATGTCTGTGAGGTAGTTGTGTAGTTGTAATTGATTCACATTTTCACTGCTGTGTGAAAACAGTTCCCAAACTTACTGGCCTCCGGACCCCTTGACATTCCTAAAATCATGGAGAACAGCAAAGAGCTCTTGTTTGCGTGGGTTACATACATTGGTATGTACTGCATTAAAAGGAAGGCCAATCGATTTTTAAAACACAAAAATACGTAAGCACACATTCTCTCAACCAACAGAGTGATGACATCATCATGCATTAGGAAGCTTCCGGAAAACTCCATGGAAGCCCTGTGAGAGAGCGAGAGTGCAAAAGGGCCAAAAGCCTCTCGGTATTATTATGAAAATAGGTTTGACCTCCTGGACCCCCTGCAAAGATCTCGGGGACCCCTGGGGACGGGATCACACTTTGAGAATTGCCCCTGCATGGGATTCCATTATATCCGTGTGATCTGCTCGCTTCCTCTTCCTTCTCCTCTTAAATTAATGGCTTTCCCAGCCCCTTCAGAAATCTCCCTGGGGCCTGGCAGCCTTCTCCATGTGTGCTGGGAAGAGACCTAACTCTGTCACTTTTTTTTTTCCTTCTGGATTTAGGTTTCCCCCAATGGAAAGATGGAGAGATTTGACAGGGTGGCTTCTGAGATCCTCCTTAGCTGGAACCCTCCATATCTCTACAGTCCTCCAACCGAGAGCCTACAGGTTTAAGAGTCTATGATTGTCAAGATCCCAAGGGTCTATAGTTCTGAGCCTATCATTTTTAAGGCCAAGATCTATTCTACCTCTCTAACATTCTGTAATTCCAAGAGGCAGGGAAGAAGATGGACGTCAGAGCCAAACTGCCTGGGTTAGAATCCCAGCTCTCCAACTGACAAGCTGTGTGGCCTTTAGCAAGTGTCTTAACCACTCTGTGCTACCATTTCCTCATCTGTGAAGTGAAGGGGGAATAACATACCTACTTCACTGGGTTTCTCTGAGGATTAAATTAAGTGACATGTAGAGCACTTAGAACAGCGCCTGTCACATAGGAAGTACCAGGCTTGGTTGTCATTCTCAGCATCATAATCATATCATCATCATTATCATCACCATCATCACATTGTTCTGAGATCCTATGGCTCTGAGGTCTAATCTTCTAAGATTTATTGTGGCTAAGACTCTATTGTTCTAAGGTTCTGTGTGAATCCGCAATTCTGCTGTCCTTAGGGTCTGTGGTTCTAACATCCTAGTATTCCAAGGCCTTCGGAAACTTTTGGTTTATGCATCTACAGAAGCCTGAATCTCAACACTCATCCCCAAACCAGGGCAGTGGGGCATGGGGTTCACTTACAGGTGGCTTCAGTGGTCCGGCGACTGTAGGACTTGCGGACGCGGTACCTGACCACCAGCTCGCCCCTCTCCACTGTTGGTTCAAACACCTCTCTGGGGGGAATGTGGAGAAAGTGAGGACAGGGTAGGGCCATGTGAAGCCCTCCCCTTCCACCAGCACTGAGAGCGAGCACCATCCCAACCCAAGCCCTGCCTTCCTTCTCCTCCAGCGTTTGCTGAGCATGTCTTGGACTGCTGCCTTCTTCCTTCCATTATTCCCCAGACCCTTGCCCTCATTCCAATTCCCGGCAATCTCTCTTCCTGCACCAGCCTCTTCATGGTCTCCCTGCCTCCAGGGTCTCCATCCTAGTCCACATGATCCTCCCTACCCATGAAGTTCCAACTCACCCATAGCGGGTCTCCTTCTTCCGCCGGTGGACGAGGAACAGGGCCAAGATGAAGACACAGGCAGCGGCCACCACTGCTCCCAGCAGTACATACCACCAGGGCCATGAGAAGGAGGGGGCTGGAGGCTCACTCACTGTCAGGGGCACGGGGGACAGGTCATGGCTGAGGCCCTGTGTCCATCTCCCTGGGACCCAAGGGGGTGATGTTGGAGGGAGCAGATGTGGATATATTTGATGAGGCCTGTGATAGGTGCATTCGTGTATCTGGGGAGGCTGGGCTGGGCTGGGCATGCAATGAATGTAATCTTAGTGAGAGTTAAAGTAGGAGCGTGAAACTCGTAGGGCGGGTGCGGTGACTTAAGAGTGGGGTGGACAGTTGAGGCGTGAGCGATGAGTGTGGGATGCGAGTGGAAGGCTTGTGTGCAATGGGTTATAACAATGCAAGGAGAGCTGTGTGAGCATGGGATGGGTGTGAGTAAACCCAAGTAGCAAAGGAGTGTGTGATATGTGTGAGAATTATGCAAGGAGGGAGCACGCGGGTATGAAAAACAGGCGAGTAGGGGGAAGAATGTACGCAGCGTAGTGCGGGTGCATGGGGCATGTGCAATAAACGTGCAAGAACTGGGAGGCTCCTGGGATAAGTGACCAAGTATTTTTGAGGAGTCTGTGATGACTCTGGAAGGGTTTTCCCACAGCAAGGATGAGAGTGAAGTAAATGTGCAAAGGGATGTGGTGTGCAAAAGGGTGTGTACACTGTACAGAGTGTGGATGGGTGTGGAAGGAATTGGGGGTGAGTAAGGAGTATTCAAGGAGTTCTAGATACAAGGAGTGAGCAGTGGTTTGTAAGAATTGACTTTGGTGTGAGAAGAGTGTGCAATGAGCAAGTAAAAATGTGGGAAAGGCCCGGCCGGTGTGGCTCAGTGGTTGAGCATCGACCCGTGCACCAGGAGGTTGGTGATTCGATTCCCGGTCAGGACACAGGCCCAGATTGTGGGCCTGATCCCCCGTGGGGGGCATGCAGCAGGCGGCCAATCAATGTTCTCTCTCATTGATGTTTCTCTCTCTCTCTCCCTCTCACTCACTCTCTCTCTAAAATCAATAAAGGAAAAAAAAAATTTTTATTGTGGTCAGGGAAGAAGAGGAGCAGGGGTGGATGGAAAGGGTATGCACACAGGGTGGGCGTGGGTGTGTGAGAAATGGAGAATGGGTGTGCGCTAAGTATACCACGAGTTCGAGGTGGGTGTGTGCAGAGCGTAGGGTAGGATTCTGGGTTCAGATTGCCTGAGGGTGAGGGAGTAACACGTAAGGAGTATGGATGAGTGTGCAAGTAGAGCTGCAGAGCGTGAGAGGAGTGGACTGAAAGTTTTTCAGTGTTTGGCATGTGGGATGTATGGTGAGTGTATAAAATATGTGCAGGGTTTGTGAATGAGAAGTGTGGGCATGCACTGGGTTTGGGAGACATGTGAGGAATGAAGGACGATAAAGGGATTTACATAAAAAGAGGGTGGGTTCGTGTGGAAAAGGTATGCAAAGAAACGCAGGAAGGCAGGTGAGAAATAGTTAAGGACAGTGGGATGAATCATAAGAGGTGGAACGTAATGGTGCCAGGAGGGTACAATGTGTGTAGGAGGGATGTTTGAAAATTGTGGAGAAATATTTCAGAGGGATGAATGTGAAAGGGGTAACTCATCTGTTGGTCTGTCCATACATCCATCCTTCCACCCACCATTCACTGAGTACCTACAATATTCTGGGCCATTCCAGGCACCTCCAGCAGGGACCAACAAACCCAAGAAATAGAGGATGATGAGTTTGAGAAACATGAAAGGGATGTGCAAAGAGTATGTGTGTGGTGTTGGGGTCCTCCCTGGGCGCTGAGGGAAGGGAGGGAGGACAGGGGCTATGAAATCCCTTACCCAGCTGGTGCACTGGCTGTCTTTGCCCTGTGAGGAGAAAGGACAGAGGGAGGACACGCTCAGGGAGGGCAAGTCTGGTGTGACGCGGGTGAGGGTGTGAGGCTCAGTGAGATTCTGGGTAGGAACAGAGCCTAGATTAGGGTAACACTGGAAGTTGCAGAGAGCAAGTCAGGGACACCTGGGAGAGACAAGATCCTCATGGGTAGGTTGAAGGGGGCTGGCCTGGCTTTGGAGTTACCTGGGCGCCAAGGCTCCAGGGGTACGGGGATGCTCCAGGGTCCATCCCCAGAGGCGGTGTAGGCTGCCACGCACACCGTCAGGTTGGGCACAGTCCTGTCCTCCCGCAACTCCAGGGTCACTTCTTGCTTTAGTCCTATGTCCATTAGCACCTAGGACATCCAGACGTGGCATCAGGGTAGAGTCCCAGGTTCCTAACTCTTAAGCCTTCACCCTCAGCCTCAACTCCCCAGCCTTCTGGAAACCTTCCCCTCGTCTCCAGCACCTTCTCTGTGCCTTCTTCCTACCCTTCCATCCCTACTCCTTTAGTCTCCATTCCCCACCCCCAGGCTCGTTAAAATACCCTCTCCACCAGGGCAGGACTCTGTCCCCTTCACTGCCGTGTCCGCCAGTCCTATGACAGTGCATGGCACACGGTTCTTCCATTGGAGCACCGAATTCTCACCTTCCACCCTCATCTCTCCATCCCCTTCTAAGTCCCACCCTATGTCTCCAGCTCAGGGACGATGTTTGCACAGGTAATACCTTTGTGCGAATTAGAAAAGGCACCCCCTTCCTCAAGATGCTGTTCCACCATCTGCTGTGAAATCATCGTCGTAAAATAGTGTCTACTGAACCGCTATTTACAATGGTTCATAAAGAGGCTTCCCTCACCCTCCCTGGACCCCTCTACCTCCCGCAAGGCACTCCTAGGCACGGTGTCATCATGCGCTGCCCGACCTGCACCGCTGTCCACATCTGCCCTGTCATCTTCTCCTCCCCCCTTCCCTCCTCCCCGCTTCTCCATCCCACCCCAGCCAGCTGCACCCACCTCAGGGGTGTCCTGGCCTCGATAGGCCAGTCGATACCCTAACAGGGTGCCCTGCAGGGGTGCCATTGGCTCCTGCCAACGCACGATGGCTTGACTCCCATTCCGCATGGCACTAACGTTCTCAGGGGGGCCCAGGGGCACTGGAGGACAGGGAAGAGGGGAAGCTGGCACACCCCACCTCTTCCTGACCTCCCCGTCCCCAGGGAGTGGAGGCAGGGTGCAAAGGGCATGCGCGTGGGCAGTGCGTGCAGGCCTCCCAGGAGCGGAAGCCAGGGATGCGCCGGGAGCGGTGCCAGCGCAGTGCTGAGGAGTGGGGGCTGAACGGGAAGGAGCTGGAGGCCACGTGGGGTAAATGGGTGAGAGGAGATGCTGGGGTGGCGCCGATGCGAGCAAGGTCCAGCGGGCAGTGGGCACTGTCTCCCCCACCAGCCCCTTCTTACCTCCTTCCGGCGTCTCCAAGGGAAGCCAGTGGGTCCAGGGTGAGGGGCCCTGGCTACTGGCACATGCCACCCGGATGTGATAAGGGCTGTGAGGACGCAGGCTGCCCAGCCGTAGTTGATGAGGGGGAACGGATACTTGCAAGGTGAGGGGCTCCTCCGGGGGGTCTGGCTCTCCCAGCCTGATGCCCACCCCATCGTCTGACAGCACAGCCTGGGGGGGAGGACAAGGGCATGAGGACAGGAGGGCCATGCAACGCCACCAGCCGTCAGACAATGCTTGATGGTGGTGGTCCCAGTGATCACACAACTTTGCAAGGATGTGTGTGTGTGTGTGTGTGTGTGTGTGTCGTAGCTTCATTCCAGTGCTCCATGGGCACCTGTATTTGCAAAGTGAGGAGACCACCCAGCTGCACGATGTGGTTCTGTCATCACTTGCAAAAGCTACCTCTGGCAAGACAGTCCCTCTCTGAGCCTCAGTTTCCTCATCTGTAAAATGGGTATCACAATGGCTCCTTACTCCACAGGGTTGACTGAAATAATGCTCCTAGGCATTTAGAAGAGTGCCCGTATGTATCGAGTGTTTACCATGATTAATACTGTGTGTGTGTGTGTGAGGCTGCCTGGCAGCATGTCCAGTTCTGCATGCCCTGCACAGTGGTACAGCCTGGCACACCCACCTAGTCCCCAGGAAAGGCACGGTCAGGATGGCAGGGCCGCAGCTGGGAAGCACACCTGTGCAGTACGTAAACTGGTTGGCACACCACACCAACAGCTAACATTTCTTGAGTGTTAACTTTGTGCCAAGCGCTCTGTGAAGTGCGTGCTTGGGTGAACTCGGCCACTTCTTACCACCACCCTCTGGGATCAATTTTTCATTCCCATTTTACAGACGAGGAAACAGACGCCCAGAGAGGTTCAGCCACTTGCCCAAAGTCACACAGCTCCCACATGTGGAGACCATACTACCCTGAGGCCTGGGGAGGAGGTGGGCAGATGGTGGGGGGCAGGATGCAGGGAGGCTGTCCCCATGCCTGCTCTCTGACCCACAGTGACAGATGGGAAGAGGAACCTCTGCTGGGACAAAGGGGACAAGGATGCAGACAGTCAGCCTCCCTGTGCCCACTCCCACTTCTCTTTTCCCTGGGATGCCTGTGACCTTCCCATTCGAGCCCTTGAGCCCAGCCATGCACAGCAGGAAGTGAGACCTGCAGAGGGAAGAGGACATACTTCTGCTTTCCTGAGGACACTGGAGGGGTGTTGGGTGGGGGTACAGCTGATGCCTGACCTGGCATGTGAGGTCTCCCCAAATGGCCTGGCCTCTGGGGTTGAATCAGTCTCATCCTCTTTAGCCACCGGGGAGGACAGGTCACTTCCCTTCCCTGGGCCTCAGTTCCTTACCTTGAAAATGGGAAGATTAACAACTACTACTTTTTTTTTATCCTCACCCGAGGACACTTTTCCATGTTTTGTACAGATAGAGTGGGAGAGAGAGGAAGAGAGAGAGAGAGAGAGAGAAACATCGACGTGAAAGGGACACATCGAGTGGCTGCCACCCGCACGACCAACCAGGGCCGGGGACAAACTGCAACCGAGGTACGTGCCCTTAGCGGGAACCGAACCCAGGTCTCTCCGGACCGCAGGCCGACGCTCTAACCGCTGAGCCAAACCAGCCAGGGCGGCAACTACTACTTTTAAGGTTAAAACGACAAGTGAATGAGGTTGTGTCCAGGGCGCGCAACTGTAAGATAGCTGCTGTTTAATCAAGCACTGGCTCTAAAGGGTCTCTAAGGAGGTAAGGAGCATCATTTCGGTCTGGTGGGACAAGAGTTCGAATCCTAGCGCTGCCACTTCCTGGCGATGACCTTGGGCAAGTTGCTTAACTACTCAGAGCCTTAGTTTCTTCATCTGAAAAGTGGGTGTAAACATAGTCCATACTTCACAAACACCCAAGGGGGTGTGCGTAAAGCCGTAACGCAAGGCCCAACACAGAGTTGGCACTCAGTGAAAGCTGGCCATTATTAATTATTGTCGTCTCCCACCACGAGCACTGTCCCACCAGCTTCCAAATCACAGACAACTTCAGGCCAGAACTGGATCTTGTGTTCAGAGGTCTGTGTGTTTGTTTTTCTTACTCTAGAGGAGGAGCAACTTAAGAGCTGAAGGCTGGGGCTGGCCCATCTCAGCTGTCAGGTAGTCTTCTTCCAAGTGGCCCCGAGCCAGACAACAATGAGGACCTAGTGGTGGCTGAGGCAGCCTGCCCACGCCTTTCCAGAGCTCACCGTCCAGTGCGGAGACAGACTCACCCCCAGACAGTGACAACCCAGAGTGGTCGTACCTGAGGTGGGGGAAGCTGGGCTGGGGGTACCCAGTGGTGACAGAGATGGCTGTCTCAGGGTTCCCATTCTGACTAGAGTCAATGTCACTAATACTAAAAAACACCGAAGACAGCTAATAGTTGGATACACGTTTTCTATGTTCCAGAGACTGTTTTGTTATCTGCATTTACTCATTGAATTCTCACCATAAGTCTTTCAGGTAGGTACTCCCATTATGCCCATTTTATAGATGAGAGAACTGAGACCCAGAGAGGTTAAGTCACCTACCTGAGCTCACGCAGCCAGCAGCTGCTGGAGCCAGGATTTGATTCCAGGACATCTGGCTTAACCCGAGGCTCTACCGCCTCTCAACACACAAACAGCTGGGAAGGACTGGTTATCCAGGGGGCGGCTGAGGGCTGTGGGTGTGGATGAAAGGGGGGTTGAGACTGAGGCTGTGTCTCACCTGCAGGGTGCAGTGGGTGAGGGGGTAGATGCCACTCAGGCCTGGCGTCCACGCCACCTCCAGCTCTGAGGGCTGGCTGGAAACCAAGTGGAGGTCGTGGGGCCGCTGGGGGAGCACTGTGGAGACAAGAGGAAGGACTGACCTGGGGGCCTTTGCCCAAAGCTCCCCACCCGGCCTTCCACCCAGCCCTGACCTTTGGCCCCAGTCTCACACCATCTGACACCCAGCTCCCAGCTCCCTTTTCTGTTACCTGTGATGATGGCCGTGCGGGATGTGGTGACCCCCTTGGCATTATGGGCTTCACAGGAGAAAGAAGACGTCTTGTTCAGGCCTGGGGAGTCATATGAGAGGGGGGGGCCCAGTGTCAGAGAGGGGAAGAAGGGGTTTGAGGGCCATGCTGGGCCACCTCCTACCATGCCCCACCTGATAGAGTCAGCCCAGCCTGTAGGGGCACCTGCTTGGAGGGAGACTGTGGGAAGGGGAGGCAATGTGTTGGGAACACAGACTTCGATCCCAAACACAAGGACAGTCCTGGGGCCTCAGCCCTAACACCCCACCACATAGATACACACACACATGCAGACACACGGGCATACACACACACACACACACACACACACAGATAAAGACCCTCATATGTATACACATAGATACACACGCAGAAACACATACTCATATACACACACATAGACACATACACTCCTATACACATATTTATGCACAGATATACACATATGTTCTCATATATACACATAGACACACTTAGAAACACACTCACACAGCAAGACACACACAGATACACAGAATTATGCAAAGGCATACATATACTCAACTATACACAAGACACCTATACCAATACACACGATTATATCCATGGACGCACAAAGAATCACAATCATATACAGAAACACACATACTCATAGCTAGACACACAGACACACAGACACACTCACCTAGATGCCGAACCAGAAACGATCACACTGAGCCACACAGACACATGTAAAAGCATATACATCTATTAGGCACACACCTAAAATACAGGCTCTCGTGGGTGTGTGTAAATGTGTTGGGGTGGGGAACCTTTTTTCTGCCAAGGGCCATCTGGATATTTATAACATCATTTGCGGGCCATACAAAATTATCAACTTAAAAATTAGCCTGCTAGGGCCCAGCCAGTGTGGCTCAGTGGATTGAGCGTCGTACCATGGACTGAGAGGTCCTGGTTCGATTCCCGGTCAGGGCACATGCCCGGGTTGCAGGCTCAATCCCCAGTAGGGGGCGTGCAGGAGGCAGCCAATGGATGTTTCTCTCCCTTCCTCTCTCTCTGAAAAATCAATAAAAAAATATTTTTAAAAGACTAACCTGCTAGGCAGGATGGGAGCGGTGGGAGCGGGAAGGAGGGGGTCAATGGGGAAAATAGGAGGGAACATCTGTAATACTCTCAACAATATCAATAAAAACAATGAGCCTGCTATACTTGGTCAGGCTAATTTGGTGAGGTGTGTGATGTTAGCTGGTATTGACTTTGCGGACATTGCCCACCCCTGGAGCACACTCCTTCTCACTCACTCACTTGCACCCTCTCCTCAGCTCTGGCCACACAGCTCTGGTGTTTCTGGAAAGCACACAGCAAGCACGTTCCCACCTCGGAAACTTTGTTCCCTCTGTACTTCTGTTCCTTCTGCTGGGTGGCTGGGGTCTGAGACCGCCTGGCCAGCAGTAGGCGCTTGTCCGGTGAGGGAATGAATTTATGTGTGTACATTTGTGTCCTGAATGTTTCTGGGTGTGTGAGCAGAACCGTGAGCGTGTGTCGTTTTGTGGGTGTTAATGTATGTGTTATGAATAACTGTTTTTGAGTGTCTCAGGGTGGATCGCCTCCCCTCCCCAGTGTAGTGATGGTGGGGACACAGGCCGACACACACACCCCCCCCAACAGGCTGACACACACACACACACACACACCAACAGGCTGACACACACACTCTCACCCAACAGGCCGACACACACACACACACACAACAGGCCGACACACACACACACACACACACAACCCAACAGGCCGACACACACACACACCAACAGGCTCACACACACACACCCCAACAGGCTGACACACACACACACACACACAACCCAACAGGCCGACACACACACACACCAACACACACACAACCCAACAGGCCGACACACACACACACACATCAACAGGCTCACACACACACACCCCCCAACAGGCTGACACACACACACACCAACAGGCCGACACACACACACACACACACACACACCCCATCGGGGGACAGGCTGGAAGGAGGGCCGAGTCTTCAGTCTGCCTGTTTCTGGGCCGTGCGTTAGCGGCCCTGTGCGTGTCTGAGGATGTCGGCGCTTCCATGAGCCTCCCGCGCTTGCTCTGCGCCTGTGCGCCTCTGTTCCCACCACCATCCACCGCAGACACAAAGTTCCCTTTTCTTAGTCAGCAGCGGGAGTGGAAGGAGGGAAAGCCGGCTGGCCCAGGCCGGAAGGGGGAAGCGCCTCAGCTCCGCTGCCCAGTCGCCAGTTCCCAGCCAAGGTCAGGTGCCCGCCCCGCAGCCCCCGCAGCCCCCGCTGCCCGGGGAGGGGCCGGACAGCCCTGGGCCGGTGCAGTCGGCGGGGGTGGGGAGCCCGGGTCCCCTCCAGCCACCTGGCACGTGGGGGCCCGCCAGGGTCACTGCGCGGGAGCTGGCCTGCCCGCCAGAGTAGCCCTGCGGCGGGATGGGGGTTCTGGAGCCGGGTCCTGTTCCGACCGCAGCATTCCTGCCCCCGCGTGAGTGAGTCACCGGGCGCCCCCCCACTTCCACAGGCCTTTGGGGGAGAGGCCCAGGATCCCCCCTTCTCAGGCTCCGGCACCAACACCTTGAGGGAGGGGAGAGCAGGGATGAAGGGGCCTGGGACCCCTTCCCCCCAAGCGGGCCCGCTCCAGATGTGCTTTCCAGATGCACAGTTCACCTCCCTCTGCTCCTGCTCCTCCCCCCAACCCCGTGCTTTTTCCGAGGGAATGAGAGGGATGGAGGGAGAGAGGCGGCACGCCCTGCTGCAGATCAAGGGACAGACGCTCACAAACAGGCTAAAATTCCTTGACACCCCCCACCAATGAATCACCCTTAATACACAGGGACCGTTACTGGCACAAAAACAGAATGCGGGGCTGGATAAGCGACGCACAGGGCCGATGCTGTGGCAAACGTGCGGTGACACAGATACACACTGTGCCTTACACGTATACACACGGGTTGACGCACACACATGAAGAGACACAAACAGCACACAATCAAACGTGCACACATTGACTGTGAACACCTAGCAAGACAATATACACCTAGGCTGCAACTGACAGACACATAAACCTCCCTGCATGTTGAGATGCACACACCAGGCAACAATCACACAGTGGGTTGAAGTGGACCAACGCATAAACACCAGAACCCGAAGAAGTTAATGTGGACTTGCTCGCACACAAATACAACCAAGCCCTCAAAACACAGCTGGACACACTCAGGATGCTTAAGACACTCACGGAAATGCAGATTACAAAAGCACACACTTGAACAGACACGAAGGGCTGCAGCCCACACACAAGTGGTGGCACAGACACACATCTACACACTGGCTGCTAAGCACCCCAAGTTCACCCACCGAGAGGGCATGGGGGCCAGGCCAGTACACACATGGAGAGCTGACGGAGGCAGAAGGGTGTTGTTAGTACCTGCTATGAATCACACACACACACACACACACACACACACACGGATACAGGGGGTCCATGTAACAGAGTCACATACCAACAAATTCACCCTGTGACATATACACAGACACCACAGACCTCCATGGACACAGACATGTACACACACAGACAGGCACAGTCAGTGGAAACACTGAAAAACACACCATGCTGTCCACCGACACATTCTAACTCCACCAACAAACAGGAGCCCACACCAGGACACTCATACCCAGAGGTGCACACCTGGGAGCAGACATTTCACTCCTCTAGAGGGAGGTATGGGAAATAGCCACAAAACACACTGCCACCCCTCACTCTGCCATCTGTCCCCCCACACATACACTCTCTACCCTCATGCAGTGAGTCACCGCTGTGAACACACAAAGGACAGACACAGGCTGACACTGGTATACTTAGTCACACACACACACACACATGGACACACATACACACACACTGACAGCCCCTGAGAAACTTATTGAGACATACTATAAAGACCCAAATACACAGTGAGACAGATACCTTCACTGACAGAAACATATCCAGTGAAACACACGCACGCACGCACGCACCCATTGGGACAGCCACAGAGGCTAAGACAGGCCCTCATACAAAGGGTGATGCTGACAGCATTGAGACACAGATCCAGAGGGATGTGGATACACACCCAGACCCCCCACTAATACACACAGATTCACCCTCACAGCTGCACCACTCACTGGTACACGCAGACCCTCTCCCACCTGTGATTCCCCCCCATTTTTCCTTCGTCCTGGGGTGGGAGGGTGACTAGCTTCCTCTCCTTCCCCCTCGCCAGGGTCCTGCCAGGCTGACTCAGGCCGCAGAGCTACCAGCCTGAGTCAGCCCTCTGGGGGTGCTCACCACCTCCTCTTCGCACACTCAGGGTCCCTGGAATGCTGGGAATGTGGGCATCTCCCTCCACCCTGAGGGACCCTCGGTCAGGAGTCCCCTCCCCATCCCAGCAGATGGAGGAACAGGTTGGGGGTGCTGGAAGCTGATCCCCTGCAGGGTCCAGCCACCTCCCTCTGACTGAGCCTCCCTCCTCCATGTTCCTCTCTCTCCTTCCTCAGTGAAGGGGAAGCTCCTGTGCCCACGGTCCCGGGGCCCTGCCACTGACCGCTGTATGACCCCAAGCTAGGTCCTGCCCCATCTGGAGTTACCTCTGTGGTCTGTCCCTCTCTGTGGCTCTGATTTTTCTTTCTGTAACTGTCATTCTGTCTCCCACTTTCTCCCCCTCCCTTTGGTTCAGGTTCTGTCCACACCAGGGGGGCCCGTGAGTGGCAGAGGCGGGCAGGTTGGGGGAGGGGGAGGAGAGGGGGGCACGGCCGACTCCGGTGCCCTGCTTGGGGTCAAGGGCTGACAAAGGGCCATCAGGCCTACACGCACGCGGGCTGTGGAACAGCTCAGAGGAAACGCAGGACAAAGAATTCTATTCAGAGACAGGCTGGGGTAGATGGAAGGAGAAGGGACAGAGAGACAGGAGGAGAGAAAGAGCAGAGACACAGGAGGAGAAGGAGAAACAGAGAGGACAGAGAAAGCATACAGAGAGAAGTGACGAGACAGACGGGGCAAAGGAGCAGAGCCAGACTCAGAGACACAGGGACAGAGAGCGACAGACAGAGGACAGGACAGGCAGACACTCATGCAGGGGCATGAAGGGCACCCTCGCTCCCATGTCCATCCTGCCAGGGCCCCCACAGTGAGCTGGCCACCTCCCTGAACTCACCTGGAACACGCAGTACGTGCTGGGCAGCGTGGCCTGTGGCCGGAGCCAGGGGGACAGCATCCTGGAGCCAGAGTAGGTCCACGGGCTCTGGGGGACCCTGGGCTCGGCAGCTCAGGTTGAAGGGGGTGTTGGCAGTAACAGTCCTGTCCTCAGGCTCCTCCAGGAAGTAGGGCAGGCCTGGGTAGGGGGTGGTGGTAGATGCTGGGGTCCCTCTGAGTCCCCCAGGTGTCTGACTCACTGCCAGGCTATTGGAGGCTGCAGGGTCTCTAACTCCTATGTCTGTCCCTCAGGCTTCTCCCCTCAGTACCTGTTTCCCTAACCAATGTCAAGCCCCCAGGACATCTGTCTTTCATGTCCCTTTTCCAGAATGTCTGACTTTTCATCCCATTTTACCAATGAGGGAGCGAGGCCCTGAGGATGGGTTGAGTCCTGCCCCTGACTCCTCACCTGACTCCAGAATCCATGGAGTCAGCCATGGTTGACCCCAGAGAGCCAACAACCCCCCCCCCAAGATGTCTTCTTCCCCGGGACATATAACCCCAATAGTTTATGGACCCCAGCTTCCTGATTCACCAAGATCTCTGACATTCCTAGGATGTATGTCCCTGGGAGACATCCTAAATCTTCCAGCACCCTCTGACCCCTGGGGTTTCTGACCTCCCATGACCTCTGAGCCCAGGGCTCACCTTCCAGCCCAATGTAGCCGGGTTGGGACTTGAAGGTCTCATTTCCCAGGTCCACTGCACACTGGTACCATCCCACGTCCGAGAGCTGCAGGGACAGGATCCTGGCAGGGACAGAGAAGAGACAGGTTTGGGAGCAGAGCTGGAGGGGGCCGGGGGCTCTGGGCTGGAAACACGTCAGAGCTAAGAAGTGGGCACTATTATTAACTCCTTTTAGAAAAGAGGAAAGCGAAACCCAGGGCGACATCACATGCTCAAAGCCACACAGCCAGCGAGTGCCCAAGCTGGGGTTCCAACCCAGGTGGAGGCCCTGCCGGTGGCCTTTCCACCCAGCACGCGATGGAGGTGACGGGTCAGGAGGGATGCAGGTTCGTGGCTGTCACCTGAGTTTGCTGACCACTTTCCAGGCGTCGTGCTCATCTTCGCCCAGGGGTACCTGGATCTGGGTGCTGTCTGCCAGCTCTAGGACCTGGCCGTCCCGAAGCCAGCTCACCTCAGGGGGCTCCCCGTGAACCAGAAGCTCACACTGAAGGGTCCCCATGAGTTCCCGGGCACCAGTGATGTTCCCTGGGCTCCCCACAAAGGGGTCCACCTGAGCCTGCGAGCCTGCGGGGAGGTGGGGAAGAGTCAGTTAGAAAACCCCACGTCCCTCCAGTTTCTCAGTCCCCCCCCCTGGGCCTGCCGGTGGCCAGGACCCTGCCAGGCCGTTAGGCTCGCATAGTTGTCGAGTGACCTCAGCGGGGGCTGGAGGAGGCGGCTTTGAGGGGAGGATGGGCACCTTCCCAGGGGACTGGGGTCCGGCCTCCATCCTTCATGGCTGGGAAGTAGGCCCGGGCTCTGGCAGCCTCCCACGTCCTGGGCTGCCCGGCCAGCCCAGCCAACCCTTGCCCCCCTGCCCTCTCTTAGGGTCCCCAGAGACTTGACAGGTCAGGCTGGTGGGTGGTGGGGGGAAAAGGGAGGGAGGGAGAGAGGGAGAGAGACAGACAGAGAGAAACCGGAGAAAAATTGAGTATGGGGAGTCAGAGACAGAAAGGAACAGAGACCCAGAGAGAGGCTGAGAGTGGAAATGAAGAGAGAGACACCCCGGTGGGGGGAGTGATGGGAGAGACACAGGGGAGAACAGGCAGAGACACTGATAGAGAACAGGGAGAGAGAAAGACAGAGACTGGGAGACCCACAGAGATGGGGGAACTGGAGCCTGAGACAGAGCCCTGGCCCCAGAGATGGAGCAGACAGACAGACAATGGTGGGGCAGGGACAGTGTGTGTGGGGGTGACTGTGCTGAGGGTTTTCCCCTAGGGTTCCTGAGCCCTCCTCATCCCACTGCCTGACTGAGTGCTCCTTTCTGGAACATTCCTTCCCTGGCAGCCCCCATCTCAGCCTCTCCCCAGGGCCCCCACTCAAGGCCAGCCCCCACCCCTGCCCTCAGCTTCTCCTGGGTGTCTGTCTCCGTGTGCCCATCTCTTCCCGTCTCTGACCCTCCTAGTTTCTATTTTGTGTTCCTCTGTTCCTCTCCCCAGCCCCTTTCTGTCCCCCTGGCCTCCCTGGGCTGCCCCTGTGTCTCCCCGTCTCCCTCTCGGTTGTCCCAAGAAAATTCCCTGAGCCAAGTCAGGACTCACCCCAACACCTGCCGTCTATCTCCTCCCTCCCGCCTACCCCAGCCCCTCCGCAGGTAGTCCTGCCCACGGCCCCCATCACTCACCCGTGGGGGCCACACACCGCCAGCAGCACAGCGCCAGCCACCAGGCCAGCGGGACCCTGCCCATTCTTGGGCACCGTGCGATCTCTGCCAAACTTTCCTCAGAAGTTGCTGGGCACACGGAGGGGGAGGGGGCAGGGCCGGGCTGTCCCCGGCCCTCCCCCCAGCTCCGGGCTCCCGGGCTTTGGCTCTGTCGCCTGGCACAGGGAGGGCTCCACTCCGTGGCCGCCGTCCCTGCTCCCCAACCTCCTTCTCCCTCCCGGACCTCTAAAACCCTTTCCCCGCCCCGGCTCCCTGCCTCCACCCACCGGGCCCGGAGCCGAGGGGCCACCGGGACGTCGAGGGGTTAACTTTGGAGAGGAGAGGAGCAGCCCTGTCTTAAAGGGACCCTGGAGGGAGGCTGAGGAGGGGAAGGCACCCTGGTGGCTTCGCCCCTACGCCTGGGCCCGCGAGGCAGGGAGGCTGTGTGTTTCTCTACCCGGCTCTGGGCGCTGTCGCCCTGGGCTCTCTTGGAGTCGGGTAAACATTCCTCCAGGACTCCACTCCCCTCCCAGCCCTTGCGACGCCCCCTCCCCCGGCCTCCACCCCCAGCCCAGCCCCAGCCCAGCCCCAGCCGGCACTCCTCTGACACTCAGCTCCTCCTCCTCCCACAAGGACACACACAAACACACAGTCAGATGTCATCCACACACAGACGGAGGCCAGGACAGGAGGAGACATGCAGGGGCATGCTGCCAGCCCGCGGGACATGCTCCGAAGACAAGCCGGGTCAGGAACTCCATTCCTGGAGAGGCCTCAGAAGCTAGCACCAGCAGAACACCTACTGGGTGGGCCTCCCCGGGGCACAAAAGACCCACCTGGGCATAGACCAGGACCCCGCCTTGGCCTTGGCCGGTGTAGCTCGGTTGGTCCGAGCATCGTCCCCTACACCAAAGGGTGATGGGTTCAATTCCTGGTCAGGGCAAATGCCCATGTGGGTTTGATCCCTGGTCAGGGGACACGGGGGAGGCAGCTGATCAATGTTTCTCTCTCACATTGGTGTTTCTTTCTGTCTCTTCCTTCTTCTCTCTAGAAATCAATAAAAATAAAAAAAAATAAAAAAATCAATTAAAAGGAAAAATAAACAAGCCCCCAGTGTGCCCTGTGGGAGCCCCCAGGGGGCTGCCTGAACACCTGGGCTGGAATCCCAGCCCTACCAGGAACTGGTGATCTTAGAAGTGACTGGCCTCTCTGGGCCTCAGTTTGTCCATCTGTAAAATGGGGATAAAAGTGGACCGCACTTAGCCCAGCCGGTGCAGCTCAGTGGATTAGCGTTGTCCCATGGCCTGAGAGGTTCGGGTTTGATTCCCGGTCAGAGCACATGCCCGGGTTGTGGGCTTGATCCCCAGTAGGGGGCGTGCAGGAGGCGGCCAATCGATGTTTCTCACATCAATGTTTCTGTGTATCTCTTCCTTCTTCTCTCTCTAAAAAATAATTTTAAAAAGAGAGTGGAATCCACTTAGCAGGCTAGAGGGAGGATAGCCTGGGTCAGTGCACGTGAAGTTCTTTGTACATGGTGCCGATACGGGCACCTGTGGTTTTTTGCCATTTGTTTGTTTCTCTGTGCATTTGCATGCGGTGTGTCTCAGGTGGGACTGTGTATCCTGGTCCTTGCAGACCCGGTGTCTGTGTGTGGGTTCTGCTGTGTATCCATTTCCATGCCTCTGTGTGTTTAGCACATGGGGGGGGGGGGCGGTGTCTCTGTAAGTCTGTGCGGAGGGGAGGGCGGAGCTGGGCACCCATCTCTCTGCTCTTGACCATTTTCTGTTTGTGTGTTTTTATCCTTACAGCTTGTCACAAAATCCTGGCCTTCCCGCCTCCTGATGTCTCTCCCACCTGCCCCTTCTCTCAGTGCAGCTGCATCCTTCCCACTGGCCTTTGCCCTGGCCTCCTCTCTGGCCTCCTTGCCTCCACTCCTGCTCCCTCCAAACCATCTCCCATTCAAGCAAACGGAGGGATGTTTCTGAAATTCACATCTGACCCCGCCTCTCCCCTGCTTGACCATCGCTCCTTACTGCCCTCGGGGCGGGCGAGCTCCCAGCCCTCTGGCCTGGCGCTCAGTGCTCTTCACCGCCAGCCTCCCTGAACTGGCTGCTCTGTGTCCCATTTCAGTGCTGGCCTCTACATCCATCCTGCCACCCACGTCTGACCTTCAGGGTCCTCCTGGACCCCGTCACCCGTAGTACATTACCTGGTCTCAGGGAGAAGTCAGCTTCACAAACCTCTCTCCCACCTGGCCCTGTCCTGTTCTCTCTCCTGGGACACGTGCTCGGGCCTCCTCCCTGGTCTTCCGGCCTCCACACTTTCCCTCCAACCTGCTCACAGCAAGGGGAATGTGTCTCAGTCCCAAATCACCCTTTCCCTCTGCCCCATACCTTCCCAGATAAAACCCCAGACAGCTTGCCTTGGGGGGGGGGGGGGCTCGTGTCCACTTGACCCTCCCCTCCTTGTCCCCAGACTTCTTTCCCTTGCTCACAGGCGTGGGGCATCCTCTTGTAGCCCTTTGTCCCCAACTCCTACACATGCCTCAGCCCCGTCTCAGCATCCCCTCTTCATTGGATCAGGGCCCGGCCCTTCCCGATCTAATCTGGGTCCCACAGTTCACTCCCAACACTCTGTCCTTTTCTTTAGCAACACTGCATGGGTTGTCATGACACCGTAATCCTCCCTGATCCACAATCTCACTTTCTGTGTTTCAGTTACCCATGGCCAGCCGTGGCTCGAAAATGTTCAAAGGAAAATCCCAGAAATGAACAATTAATAACTTCTACATTGCATGCTGTTCTGAGTGGAGTGATGAAATCTTGTGTGGTCCCTGAGACGTGAATCATCCCTTTGTCTATCGGATCCATGCTGTGTTTACTCCCCACCCATTAGTCATTTCGTAGCTGAAAGTTATCAGATCCGTTATCGAGAGAGAGAGAGAGAGAGAATATTCATCTAACTTTTTTTACAGTACAGTGTTACATTTTATTATTTTATTATTACATATTGTTGTTAATCTTTTATTGTGCCTAATTTATAAATTAAACCTTATCGTAGGTGTGTACGTATAGGAAAAACATGGTATATGTAGGTTTCAGTGCTATTGATAGTTCCAGGCATCCACCGACGGTCTGGGAATGTATCCCCTGTGGGTAAGAGGGGACTGCTGTGTGTTTATTGGTGTGACCACGTGTCTCATCTGTCTCCTCCTTCTGGTCTGTGAGCTCTGGGAGGGCAGGGACTGGGTCTACCTTGGTCACCACTGCATCTCTACCCCCCTTTAAAAGGCGTGCCCTAAGGTGGCCAATTCATTATTGTGGCATTTTGGGGTGCAACTATATGTAAAGTCCTACCTACCTGTTTGAATATGTTCAGGGGACCCACATACCTAGGGCTCCGTGGACCTGGCTGTGTGCATGGCCAACGTGAACCTGTATTTGTTCACTCAAGAACTATCTGCTGAGCACTTACCATGTGCTTGCAGTTTACTTTCAAATGCGTGAGAAGATGAGATGGACAGGTGGAGAGACATGTTCCCTGTGCCAGGGGCTGGGGACTCCAGAGTGAGCAGACTCATGGAGCCCAGATCTCAAGGGGGAGAGACAACAGCCAGACAAGCACCTATCAGGATGCCCCATGGGCAGTGAAGGAAAACAAAGCAGGGGAGGGATTGCAAAGGGCGACAATGACAAGGGGGTGCCATTTCAGAGACGGTGGCCAGGGAAGGCGCTCTGAGCTTATGATCAAGATCTGAAGGAAATTAGCAAGTGGGTCATGAAGGGAAGGGCATTGCAGGCAGAGGGAACAGACAGTGCAAGGCCTGGAAGCAGGCATGTGCAGAACTTCAAGGGGGAGACCCATGTGGCTGGAATGAATGGAGGTCAGGGAGGAGGTAAGGTCAGGGATGACCGTGGCCTGGTGAGAACTCTGGCTATTTTAATTATGACATAACCCACTGGGGGACTATTCCCTGCCCCTCTGGCTTTATTGAGATATAATTGACAAATAAAATTGTATAAATTTAAGGTGTACAACATGACGAATTAATACATGTATATATTGTAAAATGATCACCACAATAAAGTTAGTTATCGTGTCCATCACTCACATAGTTACTATTTTGTGTGTATGGTGAGAACATTTAAGATCTAGTCTGTTGCCCTGGCCAGTTTGGCTCAGCGGTTAGAGCGTCGGCCTGCGGTCCAGAGAGAACGGGGTTCGGTTCCCACTAAGGGCGTGTACCTCGGTTGCAGTTTGTCCCCGGCCCTGGTTGTGTGGGTGGCAGCCACTCAATGTGTCCCTTTCACATCGATGTTTCTCTTTCTCCCTCCCACTCTGTTTGAACAAAAAATGGGAAAATGATCTAGTCTGTTGCTCTGCCTGGTTTTTCTCAGTGGTTAGAACATTGGCCCAAGGACCAAAAGTCTCAGGTTCCATTCCGGTCAAGGGCACATACTTTGGTTGCAGTTTGGTTCCCGGTCCTGGTCGGGGTCATGTGGGAGGAAACCAGTTGATGTGTTTCTCTTGCACTGATGTTTCTCTCTCTCTCTCCCCCTCCCACACTCTCTTTAAAAAAAATGATCTAGTCTGTTAGTAAATATCAAGTATGCAATACAGCATTATTAACTATAATCACCAAGTTGTACATTAGATCCCCAGAACTTATTCATTTTATTTACTTTTATTTATTTATTTTTTATAGAGTGGGAGGGAGGGAAAGAGAGAGAAACATCGACGTGAGAGGGACACATGGACTGGTTGCCTCCCACACGACCTGACCAGGTTCGGGGATGAACCACCACCAAAGTACGTACCCTTGACTGGAATCGAACCCGCAACTCCTTGGTCCACGGGCCGATTCTCTAACCACTGAGCAAAACTGGCCAGGGCAGAACTTACTCATTTTATAACTGAGAGTTTGAACCCTTGACCAACATCTTCTCATTTTCCCCACCCCACAGCCCCTGCAACCACCATTCTGCTTCCTGTTTCTTTTAAATTAATTAATTCATTAATTATTGAAATATAATTGACATATAACATTATATTCATTTCAGGTGTACAGTATAGCAATTCAGTATTTGTACATATGTTGCAAAATAATTACCACAATAAACCTAGTTAATATACATCGCCACACATAATTACAAAATTTCTGTCTCTTGCAATCTACTCTCTCAGCAACTTTCAAATATACAACACAGTGTTATTAACTATGGTCACAGCTGTACATTCCGTCTGCCTGTTTCTATGAGTATGGCTATTGTAGATTCC